CAGCGGCCAGGGAGCCAGCCATCATCATTGTATAGTTAATGAGGCCAACGATGGAACAGCACTCAGCTCCAGTTGGAGGCTAGAAATCAGCCACTTTCCAACCCCAGGAGGCTGGAACACAGAGCCCAATTCCCAGACAGAGGCTGTGGGTCCAGGGGAAGAGAGAACAAATGGCTTCTGATGGCCTTTCCTGATCCTTGGAGTTGACAAGTCACAGTTGCCTGACGAACTGGCCTGTGCTGAGACCGTCACCTCCAAGATATACACTTGGGGGTCTCGATGCAGTAGCTGTCCTGCCTCCCTTCCCCAGAAGCCACCGGACCCTACGATTCACTAGACTCCAGAGCTTCCAGTGGGGTGACCCAGGTAACTAAAAACACACTGGTCTTGTCCACCCCTCTGGAGCCAGAGGCCCAGCTGTGGTGACCAGACTGTAGCTCACAAAGATAACCAACACTGAGCTGGTGGGAGGAACACAGTCAACTCTTCCTCCTAAATTGTATTCTGCCCCAGAGACCCAGGGCCTGGGTGGGGAGTCTCACCTTCTAAACTCAGGCCTCCCACTGATTGGCCACGTGACCTTGGAAAGCTCAGCCCGACCCCTCCCTGGACTCCAGTCTCATCATTTACAAAGTAAGACGACTGAGCCAGAATCCGTGGGTTCTAATTTTTTTTTTTAACAGTGGGACCGATTTTTCTTCCAGAAGGATATTTTCAGGGAAACCAAAAGAAACCAACTGAAACAGAGAAAAGAGCGGGGATGCCGTTACCTCCCCAGAATGTGAGATGGACAGTCCTGACTCGGTTCACCCAGCTCTGCACTGTCTAGAGACCCACCCACCCTGCTGGGATGCAAACCACCACGTGTGCTGGGTGTCCAGAGAGGGAAACAGACCAGTGCTGTGGAGGAGGTCAGAAACCCGACAACGGGCACCTGAGCAGCGCAAGTCTGAAGGCTCAGAATGACACTAATTAATGCCAGACAGACCTTTCCAAGGATTAGCCATAGCTGCACTTCCAGGGTCACCCGGCCTAGCTCATAAATCTGCATGAGACGTTATTCATTCTGGAAGACGCTCCGGCTCCCAGGTTCTAGCTTGCTCTTGGCCCAAGTTCTTCTCTTTTGAACACAAGCAGTGTGCGGCACAAGAGGGCTTCTGGTAATTAAAAAAAAAAAAAGTGTTCTGATTCTGCGCTGCGACAATACATCAGCCAAGATTCACCTCAGGTGGGCTACTGAGCACTTAGGCTGAGGAACTGAATTTTTAATTCGATTCATTTAAATTTAAATAGCCACATGGAGCTAGGAGCTACCATGTCGGACAGCACAGCCTTCAAGGACCTGCATTTCATTTCCAGTTCCTCCTTCTCTCCATTATCAATCTAATTATCACCGAGTCCCATGCACGAAGCAGCAGCTCGATCCCCTGTGCCTCAGCCCCACAGCATCTGCATCTCCCTGGAGCTTGTTAGAAATGCAGTCCCTGGCCTCACCCCAGGCCTGCTGGACCTCGGTCTCCCCATGGCTCATATACTGATTTCAGTCTGCAGAGCACCATCCAAGCCCAAAGAGTTGGACATCGCACATGGAGAAATGGAGGCCCAGAAAACTGAGTAGCTCGCTAAAACTCACACAAAGTGAGTTGAAATAGTCATTCAAACACACGTCGCTGGACAGTGTACAGCCTTGCTGTCCTTAGTGTCCCTCGCTTCTGCCATGGAACAGTCATTACCCATTTTTTAACAGGAGTCGTCGAGTCTCCCAGACTGCCAGCCTACCCATTACCACTAAACTGTGAACACTTAGGTCCAGCTATTAACAAAGCTATTTAGCATAAACAGAAGGCAGCGTCCTGGCCTCCAACACAGAGTGAGTATAGCCAGACCAGTAGCTTTCAACCTGGGAGGTCCTCCAGGGGCTTTGCAAACATTTGACTTTTATTACAGACATATTAATGCGTAAAACCACAAGGCAGAATAGGACAACTGTGGAAATGTGTCACATAATAAAATTTAGCCCACAGAAGACCACCACCACCAAGAAAATGCATGACAGTTAAGTTAAAGTATCTTTGTTAGGAACTCAGATAATTTCTGCCATCTGTGACAAACTTTTGGTACAGGCCTTTGTGGGTAGAAATGTTGTTTTGCATTGGAGTATTTTGGTTTTGAACTTAGATCTTCCTGTGTTTTCCTCATGTGGGGCTGTTTGAAAAAACGTACTACTGCCACACACGTGCATATGGCCTGTTCAAACCAGGCAAGGCCCAGGGCCCATGCTGGGAGGGACCTGCTACCTGGAATAATTTATATGCAATCACTGGTGACAAGTGACTCAGCACCAGGACAACATCAGACCATGAAAATGTAAGTGCTTATGATAATTTATGGATGTTCCTTAATTGATATCTTGGGCCAGTTTTATTGAGTTAAAATTTTGCATACAATGAGATATGCAGATCTTCAGCACACAACTGATGCGTTTTGACAAGTGTGCACGCACCTGTGTAAACACCCAATTAAGGATAGAACATTTCTGTCATTCCAGAAAGCTCCCCCATGTCCTCTTCCAATCAATCTCCATCCCTGCCTGCCTGATTCCTATCACTACAGATTAGTCGCTGTCTGCTGTTGAACTTCATATCAAGAGATGGAACCGCAGCAGGTGCTCCTCCGTGTCTGTCTCCTTTCACCCAGTGTCATGCCTTGGGGTCCATCTGTGTTCATTCCATTCACTGCTAAGTAGTATTCCAAGGCATGGAAATGGCCCATTTTTTTATTCATTCACTATAGACGGATTTATGGGTGGTCTCCTGTTTAAGGCTATTAAATAAAGTGACTATACATATTCTTTTTTTTCTTTGCAGTGCTGGGAATCAAACCCAGAGGCTTGCTAGGCAAACACTCTACCTGCAAGCTATGTCCCCAACCCCTACTATACACATTATCATTCAGTTTGGTTTTTTTTGCACACCTATATTTTCATTTCCCTTGGGTAAATACCTAGGCATGGAATCGTCAGGAGGTAAGTTTTGAAACTTCCAAGAGGCTCCCAAATGATTTTCCAAAGCAGGGAAGGCTTTCCTGCAAAGCATGAGTGTCCATGTCAGTCCAGATCCCACCAACCTGTGGGACCTATCAGTCTGACTGACTCTAGCCCTCCTTCATACAAAGAATTGTATCCCTGGGAATTTGGGGTCTTGTGCACCCCTCTCCTATGCTTACTGGCCATTTGCAAACCTTCCTTTGTGAAGTGTCCCTCGACTCTGTTGCCCATTGTGCCCAAGCTTGTTGGTCATTTTGCTCTTGATGTAAAAGGCCTGACAAGTCTGTGGTCAGGTGTGTGTTTAATAAGTATTCCTTCCCAGTCTGTGGCCTGCCTTTTCAGTTTCTTAATGGAACTTGCAATATTCTTATTTTTGAAAATACAGGTGATGTTACAGATTGTTCATATCTATCTCTGATGTAACAATTTCCTTCTCCACTCTTTCTGACTCTTGAAGGTATTGAAAAATAAATGCAGAAGTTGGGGGAAGTGAAGTTCTCACTGGCGAACACACAGGACACAGAGGATTTTTATGGTAGTGAGAGAAACCGTTGTGTGCACCACAATAGGAGACACAAGTCATCACGCCTTGGTCAAAGCCCACGGGATGCACAACACCAAGAGTGAACCCCATGTCAGCTGCACACTGTGGGTGGAAATGATGTTTTGACACAAGATCATCCAGGTCATCAGGTGTGACAAATGGCCCACTCTCATGATGGCGGTATTGGTGGTGAGGAAGGCTGCCCAGAAAGGGGAACACAGGGGTTAAAAGAAACTCTCAGAACTTTCCATATTCAGTTTGACTGTGAACCTAAAACTGCTCTAAAAATGAGTATGTAAAAACAAAAATTTAAAAATAAAGAAAATGTGTTACTACCACTCATGTAAATCTAGATTCTTTAACTGATCTCACTGATGGACTTTTTTGATTTTTTTAAAATAAAGTACTCATTTAACCTTTTAAAATAGCACAATTAGCTGAGTATGGTGGTGCACACCTGTAATCCCAGTGACTCAGGAGGCTGAGGCAGGAGGATCCTGAGTTCAAAGCCAGCCTCAGCAAAAGGGAGGCACTAAGCAACTCAGTGACAGCCTGTCTCTACACAAAATACAAAATAGGGCTGAGGGTGTGGTTCAATGGTTAAGTGCCCCGAAGTTCAATCCCCAGTCCCCCTCCGCCCGCCCGCCCATCACAACTTCTCCTGTAGGTTGAATATGGTGAAATGGGTGCCCCCAAAGTTTCGTGTATTAGAGGCCTGGTCCCGAGGGTAGTATGGGGGGGGGCTTTAAAAGGTGGGTCCCACCAGAAGGTCCTTAGGGAAACTGAGGGTGCTGCCTGGGAAAGGATCAAGAGACCCAAGTCTCTCTCTGGCTTCCTGTTTGTGACGATCTTTTCCTCCCTTGTGTACTCCCTCCATTGCCATCGGAGATGACACAGGAAATGGGGGGGCCTTGCCAGAGACTCTACTATGCTTCTAGATTTTCAGGCTTCAAACTGTAAGCTAAACGAACTTCTTTATCAAGTTAGCCTGCCTCAAGTATCACATCATAGTCACAAACACAGACCAATAGAACTTCTTCTTATACTTTGTTTACATAAAAGCTTCTGCTACTGAAAGTAACAAGTCC